GGACTGTGGAGCCTTTTTATCTACTGTTCATTCACAAGCCAAACAGAGACATAGGGACTAATGAGGTTATTTTCAGATAACCGAGCAGACTATTTAAAAGTTACTGTGTTCACCGACTTAGTCCACTATTCCGTAGAATTTCTTAAATATTTAAACAAGAAAATAATTTAATATCAAAAAAGGATACAAATTGGGAAAAGTTCATTAGCTGTTCATTTCCATGAATCACAATGACTGTTGTACTCATAATGTTTCTTCCAGCGCCCATTGAGAGACCATTTATAAATACTTAACAGTGGCTCTAGTGACTAAACTCATTAATGTCTGTTCTACTAAAACATTATTTCAAAATTCTTCAGCATTATCTATTTATCCCAAAGTTTTTCAGTGTGGATCTACTTTCTGTGCCATGTGACATAGCTTGCATAGAAAATTGGTCCCTCTAACTTTTCTTTCAAAGTTTTGTGGAGTTGTGCATTTTGACATAATGGTTATTTCTCCCTAAATGTGTATTTGAATATACTTATGTTTATATTTTATATAAAAATTTTAAAGAAATTATTGTTCAATGTAGACAAGGTTGATTAAAATTATGATTATGATGTTTGCATATATTTTAACCAGAGTGCAAAGTTTTTAATAGATGAATCTTTGAAGAACATCATGTGTGTCAGAGAACTTTCAACCTTCAGGAATATCTGATGTAATCATATTCTCTTTTAGTATGGGATACCTCAGGATTATACAGAGGCTAGTTTTCACTAAAATGAATATTATGAAATAAAAAATACTTTGAAAGAGGGAGAAAGTGTTTTCATAATGCAAGAACAAAGGAGGGCTTAATTTTATGCCATCCTAGGAAACAAGGAAAACCCAAAGGAGAAACTTAATCCTCTGCAAGGTTAGAGGGAAGTCATTTGAGTGTCACCGTTCACTCCCCTTTCACAGAAGCATTCTTTCTGAGACAACTCAGATGGAGGAAGAGAGAAATGGTGTTTCAACCTAGGTTGATATCTAAAGGATGCTTGAGGGAGTCTAGACAAATCCCAATTTTTGACTCCTAGTCACCCTCCACATTTCACCACCTTGAGCTGACATATGGGTCTTCTGATAAAGAAAGCAGTGTCAGAGAGTGTCAATTAAAAACAAAATCAAAGTCTCATTGCTCAAGAAATTCAAGTTGACTGTGGGATGAATGCCTCCGACTTACAAATTGTTGTACTAAAAACTGTATGTTAATGATGTATTTTCTTTCATTTTACATGTTTCATATTTCTAATTGGACTAGTAAGAGAGATTTTTTTCTTGTCTGCAGGCAAATCCTACATTTTCTCTTTTAATCCTTTTTTAGAGCAACCCTATTTTAGGGGAAAAGATGTTAATTTATTGAAAGGAACAATTAAATATATGCAGAGAGAGAGAGTAGAGTGGCAGGTCTCTTCAATTAAACCAACATGATGAAAGCCAACTAAAGTCACCCAAGGAATATCCAGAAAGAAATTACAATATTCTTCTCTATCATAGTGGAAGAATAGAAAAATTAGTCAAAATTAAAGAAATTCTAATGAATTTTTCAATTTTATTAACCTACGCTTATACAACTCTCCATGATATATGACCCTTATGTGAATGGAAAGCCAACTATTTCTGCAAACAAGTCACCAACGTTTGCATAAAATTCATGAGACTGAAATCCTTTTTGCAAGCTTCCACTGGAGGTATTCATTGCACCAAACCTTGAAGACTAATCTGTTACAGACTCAACTTGGAATGAGGGCACCCTAGGGAGAGATAATAACACAGAACACAGGGATGAACTTGAAATGTAAACATAGTCCTTAAAGTATAGAATGTAGCAGAGTCTGGCCAAAATGTAAAGTAACAGAGAAGTCTGAAGAATCAGAATTGCTGAGACCCCTGGCTGCCTCACTAAGAAGTTTTGATGTATTTAATAAGAAATAGGGCGCTGGGTGAATTTTGAATAGGGAGAGCTATAGGAAGATGATCCAGGTGATTAATATATAGTTTTCACTTCCACTGTGATAGAAACAAATATTGTCACACTCTTTCAAATTACCCTACTTTGTATTAATAGTGCAAGTAAAAATTTTCTTGAAATAAATTGGCAGAGATTAAAATCTGATTTAGAGAAAATTTTGAGCAATTATTATTCAGACTTTTTTCCTTCATATCATCAGCACAGAAATTAGTTTATTTGTTAAACAAAATTTCATTATTTTTTCCTAGACAATCTCTAAGATGTTAAAATAATTTTCCCTTGACATAGGTTTTTAGGAAAACAAACGTTTTTCTAAAACTGAAAATCCCTTCCCAAAGAAATAAATATTTATTCTGATTCATCCGTAGAACCCAGAGTTAAAACTGTAACTCTTCTATATTTTTTTAAAGCTGCTCTGGAATATGGTCTTCTCCTTTATAGCAGCCATATATTTTTCTATTTTATGAAATGGGTTCTGAGGACTGCTATTATTTGTGGAACGAACTCTAAGATGCTAATTATTTGCAATCGACCCTAGAGATCTTTGGTGTGAAGTAATTTTGCTACAGCATAAATATGAGTCACATGGCATAGGCAAACATTCAGGTACAAGCTGCCAAGCTAGACTGTAACTCTCCATAAGCATGAAATGTTTACTATCCAAAGAGGTTTATGCTTCTCTCTACCCTACCATTAAGCACCATAGAAAACGAAGATCTAGAGGGGTCGGTTTATTTATTCTGTCATAATTCACCTCATTTTAGACAAAAAAATTATACTTAGAAGCTATTGCAATATGGAAATATGTAAAGAAAGCTAGTAATGCATGCGAAAGGATAGGATAGCTTCGTATTACAAGTTGGACAGACATAGGTTGAGAGAGTCTACCTGCAAGAGAGTCAAGCAGGTTTTTTTCTATAGAAAATCTGTGTAAAATCAACAGAAGTCATCTTTTAAGTTGTAGGACTATAAGATTCTAAATAATCTCTCAATATTGCTAGCAGTATGATCATTTAGGACTGAATCATTTGTTTTGGAAATCATAAAAATTGTCAAACAGTTGATTAAATGTTAATGTCAAACAGATTTATGCAACTGAATTTAGGATTTCCATTTTTGTAACAAGTGAATCAGATTTCATGTTTGGCTTGTGATTACTTGGCAATGAGTCACTAGATTGGTACTCCAATGATCTCTAAATTTTTAAGCATAGTATGAAATCCTGTACATTCTCTGGGATGAGTAAAATAGCTCACATCAAGTGTATGTCATTGCCAAAATAATTAGATACTTATTGAGAATCCTTTAAACTATTATTATTAGAAACAATTAGTCAAAATTATTTGCTTTCTCCCATCCAAATACTAACCAAGCCCAACCCTGCTTAAATTCCAAGATTAAATGGGAATGGGCACATTTATGGTGATATAGCCATAAATAAAATCATTTGTCTTCAGAAAATAATTTCTCTATGAAGTTTTACATGTAATGGTCTTATTGGTTTAAAACTATCTCCATCTTATATAAAATATTTATAGCGCAACTACATGTGTTGTTATAGACTCTGTAAATATCTTCAACCCTGTTTAAGTTGCAATTTTTATTTTGCCCTAAAGAGTAACCCAATCATTCCATTTTCTGAATCCAAATTTTGACAAGAGGCTCTCCCCTTGGGTTGCTGATGAGAGTTGTCAATGATATTTCCCTGCAAGGGACAAGCTATCTTGTCAATGTTAGGCAGGCACTGTGAAATAAGCTTTGCCTAGTTAAAAGCAGTCAAGATTCAATGTCTTTTTGAATTTTTTATTCTTTTTTAGAAATACCAAAAGCTATGTTGATATTCTTGTAGATGGCTGTGTGTCTACGGTAAATTTATATAGATGTTTTAAATAAGAAGATAAACTGTCCCCTAAAGCATTGAAAATGTGATTTTTTTTCTTTATTCCAGAGATAGGGAGGAGAATAGAGTAGAAGTAGCCAAAGTAAAACAAAATGAACAAATAACAGTAACCACAATAAGAAAAATAAAGCTTTCTTTCAATGCTTACATTGCTTATCTGTCCTCCAAAAGATGCAAGGTTCAAAAGACATGTGAAAGAAGTCATGAAAGCTGTAACATTGTACATGAAACCAGAGTAACATCCCTTCAGATATGGATCTGCTGTTGTCTTCAAGATGAATGTTTGACTTCCCCAAAATAGAAGTAAAACACCTAACCTCAAATCTGCTGGCCTCAGTCAAGGCCTGACCTATGTCTGTATGACCTAGTTACAAGTCAGCTAACCAATGGGCATTGGTTTTCTTGCCTCTAAAAATGGGAATAATGCTTCCACACGATCATCCATGGAAAATGGCTCCTCTTGAGCAGTTGCCAGAAAGAGGCCTTTAGGGGGCCACTGAGCCAAATCTGCAAGGGAATTGTGAAGCCCCAAATTTCTTTGTTGCCCCTCCTGGGCAACCAGGGATTCTTATGCTAGATGGATGAGAACTCTTATGTAAAGCATTCAGCCACACCGTGTGTGAGCCCCATTTGTGCTATGTGGACCAACAGAACAGTCAAGCATACAAGGTGATTAATAATTGTGATGGCTGATTCTGATGGGACAAGGGAATGGCATATCCTCTGGGGTCTTGTGCTGAACAAGGTTTAGCATTAACTACTATTCACCCTCACGTAGAGTGAGCCTGAGTCCCAGTGTTGCTGACAACATCACAAATGCTTCAAGTATTATTTTTCAATCCGTCCAACTGTTGCCAAATCACATCTAAGTACAGCGGGATTTCTAAGGCTCTCTTCCATTTGACCCTTGCGGGTGCAAAGGATCAGGGGCTCAGATTTACATGACAGAACTGCACTTCAGTTCCAGTGTTAGATTTTCTCTTAAATGAGTGTGTAGGTGGAAGGAAATCTAAAGCCTCTTTGATGCTACCCATTCTGGTTCCCTTTATTGAGCATCTTGATAGAAAAATGCACAGTGAAGTTACCTCCAATTCCTTTTAGGTTAGGATTTTAAACAAGAAGATCGATTTTAGCAAAGTTCAGTCCAGATGTGGTTCCAAGGATAACATCAAACATTCGGCTGGGGGCGGAAATGTAAGTAGAAGCGCCTATTAGAAAGCTGTCCTGATTGCGTGGAGCCACCTGCACAGCCAGCACCCTGCCTTCTTTCCCACCTCTTTCCAACACGTTGCTCCTTTCTCACTGCTGTTCACTCCTTTCTCACTCCTGTCTCCCTGGTATGATAGCTTGTAGCCTTGCATTTTCGGTGATGGACTTCCTATCCTTCTCTGTAAGATCATCAGGGAATTTCTTGCTTTGATTTGGGAAAGAAAACCTCGATGGAGTGCACCCTGGTTTTCTGGAGAATGGCAAACCCACTTCACTTGCCAACTTCGTTGCTGGCCTTTTTGTCTTCAGTGTATTTTCTCACATTGTTTCTACTCCACTGCAAAAGTCAGCTGGACACATACTTTTCTAGCTCCATTTAAATTACCCATGAGGCAAAGACTGATATACTTGTAAATGCCCGAAGTATGTAATGTCAATCTTCAGTGGTTCATTATTCATGAAAGTAAGGATATCATTTCGAATAATACAAAACTGGTGAAGCATGGTTCATCTATAATTCAGAGTGAAAGGATTCAAGTCCCAGTATGCACTTTAGTTTGATGGGATTTTTTATCCTGTCTCTTTCATTGAGTGTAAATAATATCCTGTGAGAGGAAGGGAAAGATGATTTCATGTTTTTTAAGTATGGTTGAGGCAGAGGTGAAATGGTCAAACTCAAGCTGAAGGTTCTTTATAAAATAAGAATTTTTTTTTTTTTTTTTTTTTTTGTGACGGAGTTTCGCTCTTGTTACCCAGGCTGGAGTGCAATGGCGCAATCTTGGCTCACCGCAACCTCCACCTCCTGGGTTCAGGCAATTCTCCTGCCTCAGCCTCCTGAGTAGCTGGGATTACAGGCACGTGTCACCATGCCCACCTAATTTTTTGTGTGCTTTTAGTAGTGATGGGGTTTCACCATGTTGACCAAGATGGTCTCGATCTCTTGACCTCATTATCCACCCACCTCGGCCTCCCAAAGTGCTGGGATTACAGGCATGAGCCACCACACCCGGCCCAATAAGTGTAATTTTTAAAAGGTGATCAGGCTAACTATATTCTACAGATCCTATCACTTTTACATTTCAGTTTCTGATCATCTGTGACTCAAGTAACTTACAGGGTGTCAAGTCTAGAATCCCCACCTGTCTGGTAACTCTTGGCTACTTGCTCCCCAACTGTGCAGAAGTAGAATTAAGCAGTGAAGAGAGAAAGAGAGAGAGAGAGACAGAGAGAGAGAGAGAGAGACCAGCAAGTGCCTTCTACAAGCAGCTGTTGCCTGATAATCATAGCTTCACTGAGCATAAAACTGTCACTGTCATTGAAAGTCCATAGCAATTGTTGCTGGGCACCTTCAGGTATGCTAGGCTAAGCCCCGGGGTTACTCTTTACACTTATGTGGTTGCCACTCTTCCCTATTCCCCAAACTGTAAGTGCACACCATATGGTACTCTCATAAAAGCAGCCCCAGTCCTGGTAATTACCTTGAGGGTATCAGAGGATGGACCCAGCTATCCTTTTCACAGGTGCTGCTGGACAAAACAGCTAAGTGGAAAAGGATAAACTAGGATAACTAAAGATCTTAAAGTCAGTAGAGGAGTTTTATCTCCCAAAACAATAGTCTTAAATTTTCCTCTAAGAAAGAATCACTTGTTCAAAAAATGCAGATATCCTGGCCTGGTCCCCATGATCTCTAATTCAGTAAATTTTCCTCTAGGAAAGAATCACTTGTTTAAATATGCAGATTTCCTGGCCCTGTCCTCATGATGTCTGATTCAGTAATTCCCAAGTACTCTCATGCAGATGACAATGGACCAAACTTGGAGATACACTGCTTCAAATATTGGGAGAGGAAATATTTTCAGTAAAACACACAGAAGAAAAAACATATTGCTATCATTTTATAATTTGGTATGAAAGAAAAACTTCTTCTGGATATGACAGTGTAATAACAATTTAGGAAAGCACATTCAAAACTTCTTGTTGTATCTTAAAACAACGTTGGTCTTCTTGTAACTATGAGCAGCACTGGTCACTTTTATGTAAAAATCACTTTATAAAGAATAATGCGTCACTTCTCTTGGCTCTTTGCTTATGGAAAGGTTTAACACAGTGTTGCTTAGTTCTCTGAGTGGAAGCTTGCCTTATTAATATGTTTTTATCCTCCTGTGTCATAATCTGCTTTCAACTAATAAGATCTTCTATTCTAGGGTTTTCTTTCGCTTGGGTTCTTCTTTCCAATCCAAACATGTGGGAGAATATATGGAAAATTACGCCTTCCTGTGTTTGTGTGTACTTCAATTTGGTTTTCTAGCTATGTTGTTGCATGTTGTGAGTTTGGGTATGTTTCTAGATTTTATGTGGGGGCTTAGGTTTTTGTCCATGTTTGAACTATTTTAAGCATGTTTTATGTGGTTCACACAGGTACAAATTGTTACCAAGAAAATAGACCTAAGTCATGTGACATCTAAATGTGGCTCTCTGAAGAACATCCGCCACAGGCCAGGTAAATAAATAATTTTTAGTAGTGTGAGAAATATTTAATTGGAATCAAGAAATGGACCGGAAAACTTTGTTGTTGTTGCAAAATACCTAATTGGAAGGATTTTTTTAAATCTGGATACTTCACATTTTTATTAATAGAAAGTAAAACTGAAAATTTCACGGCATCTTCATTGGGGACAAGTGAACCCAATTACCATGAATAAGACACATTTTAATTAAAAATTAAAATTAAAAATTAAAATGTACATAAGATGCATTTTCTTTATGTATTCAACATGCTTATTGGAGCTCCTTTGACATATGTAGCCTATAAAATACACTAGATCATGTATTCGTGTATAATATTGAATGGAGGTAGCATTTCCAAAGATTTTTTCATAAAATTGATTTCCTACATTATGTAAAATAAGGATTGTGTTGTGCAAAGCTGAAGAAATGTATTTTATCTGGTGAATTTCTCAGATCCTTTATTAGGTCAGTAAACACCATGAATCCCCAGCAGAATGCAATTTTTCCTCAACTTATTTGGCCATGAACCCCTTTTGGTTTTTCAGAATAGTTCATAGGACTAGTGCTCTAAAGTATAATTTATATTCATACTTACTGGAGATTTTCTCCCTTTAAAGTGTGAATCTAACATATTAGGAGCCATTTTTCTGAATATCATGTATTACATGTTTTTGTTAAATTCTGCCTCCATAGAGATGGGCATGTTGGTTCATACCCATAATCCAAGCACTTTGGGAATCCAAGGCAGGAGGATTGCTTAAGGCCAGGGGTTTGAGACAGACTGGGATACATAAGGAAACCCTGTCTCTTTAAAAAAAAAATGGAAAACAAAAATAAGCCAGATATGGTGGTGCATGCTTGTAGTCGTACCCACTTGGGAGGCTGAGGCAGGAGGATCACTTAGTTTCAGGAGTTCGAGGCTGCAGTGAGTTATGATCACACCACTGTACTCCAGCCTGGGCAACAGAGCAAGACCCTGTCTCAAAGGAAAAAACTCTACCTCCATAGATATGTAATAATAGATGACTATCAAATTTATAATGTTCTTGAGAATATTTTGACACAATTCATTTATCCCTTTGAGAACAAAAGGAAAGCAAGTGGTGTTAACTCTCTGTGTTTGGCATCTTAACATGAAAGCAAAGTAACATGTTTTTTCCAATTGTCTCAAATGTTATCAGAAACAAGGTATAATAGCAATTGAGCCATTAGCTGACAATTATTCTGCTAGTCAGGAGAAAATCATTAATAAGTTATTGGTTGAAAAACGAAGATAGGTAGAATAAATTTCAAAATGGATAAATGCATTGAAAACATCTGGAAATCAGGATTCATTTTGTCAATGGGAATTCATTATAAAGTAAGCCAAAGAGTTAGAAACTACATTTATGAAGAAGTCTTCACTACCAGTTTCAGAACTGCTACCATGGAATTAGCTTCTCTGTTATTGATGAGACAGCAGGAAGGTTGTCCCATACTACATATCTTTGAAACTCCCCTGTCCACATCTGAAGCCTACAAACACTGAATTGACTTTGTACTGCCGTGTCAACAACATGGCTAGAGTACTTGGCCACACTGCCTATTTTCTTTCAGAATACAAAAGAAAATGCTGGACTCTTTAATTCTAGACAGTAAGGATATAATTAGTCAAATTCACCTGTGACCTAGATGTACAGAAAAATTTTATACAGATAAGGGACTATTCTGTGTATGATTTGTTCGTCATAAAAGTCCATTGTCATGGACTCCCACCTATTTCTAAATTTAGCTCTTACTTCTTTTATAACTGAATCAAATTACTAAATTCATAAAGAAGTGTAAGCATTAATCCTTGGCAGCAGCAACCTTTTCATAAAGTTACTTTGAATATGGAATATCTAAAGAGAAAATAAAGAAAATAAACACTGTGAGGCACAGATTGAAATATGTGTTCTTCTCAACTTCACTTATAAAGCTTGACAAAGATAATAGTCTTTCACAATTACTGTTCCTGATGGGTGCCAGAAACCTTCAAAAATCAAAGGCATAGATCTCCAAGTTTAAGATACCTGGATTCACTAACAGAATTTCTAGAGGGACTTCATCAGAAATAGACTTCCTAAGCTTCCTTTTCTGAATATTTTTTGAGTCAATAATACATTATTATTTTCACCTCTCAGAAGACAGTTCATACTGAAATTCCATCTCTACAAAATAAAAATAAAAAAGCTAAGCTGAGTGTGGTAGGACTACACACCTGTAGTCCTCGCTACTCAGAGGGCTGAGGCAGGAGGATCATTTGGGCCCAGGAATTCAAGGTTGCAGTGAGCTATGATCATGTCACTTCACTGTAGCCTAGGCAACAGAGCAGACGCTGAATCTAAAAATAAAAATTATAATGACATATTAGCAAAAATTTAACAAGATTATATCGACACAATATATAATCAGAAAAGTAAGTGATTTCTATCAGAGGCTACCAAAAATAAGATCACAAAGAAGTTGTTTTTATCTAGTTGAAAGTACAATGTCCTCTAACCTCTAACCAAAATAAGTCTGTTGTTATGAATTATTACAAATCATGTTAATCTCATCACAACCAACAAGTGATACCTATATGGCCAGGTAAAATGTGGGAAGAATAACACTCCATAAAATGAGGCATATTTTGTGGGAAGGATAACTACATGTGTCTAAACACGAGTTAAATAACATCATACAGTTTCTAAGGCTTAAAAGAAGAACGATTGGATGTTTCTCCAAAATGTAATCTAATTATGTAATACAATCTATAATGTAACCATGTAATTTCAAGAGGCTCCTGGCCAGGCAGTTGGGTATTAACATAGATGTCTAGATATTGCATGAGAAAAACACCTCGCGGCTTAAGAGACCTGTGAAGCCCTAACAAACCTTCTTTTTCATCTACAGTGATACATGAGCAACAGGAATCAAAAATTGCAAAATCTCTTTCATGTTTCCTTACAGCCCATCAGGCATTTTTTCAAAATCAAACTCCCAAGCAAGATACACTTTATGTACTCAACATGCTTACTGGAGCAGCTTTGAAATATGTAATCTATAAAATACATCACAACCAGCAAGTGAGACCTACATTACCACTGGCTTTCCAGAAGAACGCATGTGCTCAAAACCAAGTTGTTGTTAAAGTGAAAGCAAATCTCTTAGGTGGAGATGAGTAAATAAGGAGTCTAATTTCACTTTTTATCCAGATCAAACACATCAGCAGACACTCAGAAATGGTCAAGTTCAGGCTCAAGGACAACAAATAACCTACCCAGTGCGGAAGAACTTTCCATATTTGAAAGCTTGAGAAAGACGTGTAGAGATGGGGAAGACTACACTGAAGAGTGGAGCATGGCACTGTTACAATCAGCAGATCAGAGTTCTAGACTAGTTAGCATTAGGGAAAATGGCATGGTCAAAACTCTGTCTCAATATTATCAGATCAAGGTCACCATCAAATTGATCCTATGGCATCTGTACAGGGAAGAGATGCTGATCTGTCACTCCATATGTGAATTAAAATAAGAGGCTTTTAAAGTTTACTAGTCATAAACAACTTATCTCCTGACTCATTTCATCAGTGAAGCCTTCAATGTTGAACATTTATAAATGAATATATTGCCCACAGGTGTACCATTTCCAGCCTAAAACTTCTTTGGATAAGTAACCTGTTACCATGAAGAGTAATGAAGGGTTTCATTTAAATTTAATTTGGTCCCTGATAAATAAGAGACATGTTCCAACTTTTAGAAAGGATTCAAATCAGATATTTTCGTTTTGCTAATTTTTAGAGTTTTTGTTGTACCAAAAAGCAAAGCCCCTCTGACTTCTTAGATTAGACATGGATAAAGGAGAAAGGTATTAATATGTAAAGCAATCCATATAATGGTATAAGAAGGATGTTATGATCTTGGTTCATATGGGGAAATGATATGGGCTAGAAATTCTAAAAGATTCCTTTTACATATATGGTTGGAGGGATGGTACAGTTAATAAATTTGTGATTTGCAATAGTCTACTGCAATCATTTTTGAGAAATAGTCATCACAAATGCCAGATATAATTATATCAAGGCATTTCTTCCCTCATAGGTGGTGGACGTGTGAAAATTGAGAGTGTGAAACTAGATTTCAAAGAAAAGGCCCAAGCTAAAGTCGGTTCTCTTGATAATGCTCATCATGTACCTGGAGGTGGTAATGTCAAGGTAAGAAACAAAGTTATGAGCCAATCTTGTCTCTTTTTAAAAGAATTATTCTGAAATACTCCTCACCAAAAGAGGTCTCAGACTGAAGACCTGGAAAAATAAGAGGGAGGGATAATAGAGGTGAATAGACGTCATTAATATCAGCCCTGGGAGATGGAGAAAGAGGTTAGGGGCCAATTAAGATACATGCATTAACGAGGACTGATGCTTGTCTCAAACAGATTGATAGCCAAAAGTTGAACTTCAGAGAGCATGCTAAAGCCCGTGTGGACCATGGGGCTGAGATCATTACACAGTCCCCAGGCAGATCCAGCGTGGCATCACCCCGGCGACTCAGCAACGTCTCCTCATCTGGAAGCATCAACCTGCTCGAATCTCCTCAGCTTGCCACTTTGGCTGAGGATGTCACTGCTGCACTCGCTAAGCAGGGCTTGTGAATATTTCTCATTTAGCATTGAAGTAATAATATTTAGGCATGAGCTCTTGGCAGGAGTGGGCTCTGAGCAGGTGTTATATTCATTCTTTATAAACCATAAAATAAATAATCTCGTCCCCAAACTGTAGTAATTGTTACAATTTTATATTTAAAAAAATGAATAGTACATGCAGAAATTGACCTGATTTCCATTTGCAACAGGAAGACACTGGCTTTACATGGGTTCAATTGGACAATTACTTTTGCTCTGCTCTCTTTTGCATGGAGTATTATTATTTTAAAAATTGCATTTTTACCTTTCATGTGCCTGAAGGCTATCCACTACATTCCGAAGGCCTTGTTAAAATCCAAGCTGCTCATTTCACTATTCTGTTTCTGAGTGAGAAGATGAAAAACTGCCCATTGTAACTTATTTCAGGTTAAATTAAACCAAGGAGTCTGATTGCAGGAAGGGAAGAGCATGTAAGAAATAAGTTTTTTTAAAGTGTTATTTTGTATAAATGGGAAGAAAGATTCAATTAAGTTATTAACATTTGGGACCTGGATAATTATATCAGAGTATGTCAATCCAATAAATTATTTAACTAACTAAAAAATAGTTGCAAAGCATTTGAGCTGTGTTTGAGGAAGTGATATAAAAGTGCATCCCTTAAGAATGATGCACTTTCATTAGGATGGACTCGTGTCTGATTAGAATGTCAGTTGATCAGCTAGATTTGTGTCCACACTACCAGTTTCACACCCCCTTTCCGTCTGTTTGATACAGTATTATAGATATAAATATATATATATATTTCTCTGTGGCCATTTGTGATACTTCCTCATATACTTGAATATTATACTTCTTTATTCACAGTATCTGTGTCTCCTGCACCCTTTGGTGTTGCAATTTTAGGTATGTGAAAGTAGATGTTAGCAGGGTTCTCTCCCTATTAAAAAAAATACATTAAAAAAGACAAAAAATTTTAGCATGAAGTTGCTTTCTGTAACAACTCAAAGCCGTAACCCTGTTTTAGTGCCAGATATAAGTCTCTCCCGTGATGCTAGAAAAAATTATTTTTCTTTGCTTTCACCAACATGGAGTTTGTGGGGGTGGGTCCAGTTATACATGAAAGGGTTTACAGATTGTTGGTTTGAGATTATGGATTTATTTCATTTTTAATCACAGAATAGTTTGGGTTTTATTCCTATTATTATTCACAAAACCAACTTAAGATCTTTTCTTTATTTTTCTTTTTTTTCCATTTGCTAAAGTTGAAAGTTGAAACTAACAGTAAGTTTGAAATATGTTTTCTCATTTTTCCAAATAGTATCTGTTATTAAATTCTCTAATAGAATATGTTTGTCTTTCTTACCCAAAGTAAAGTTTCCCTAATCAGAAAGAAAAAAATACAACACTTTGAGACACTATATCTAAAAAACACTTGAGACACAGGTATCTAAATCAGTTTTTTTCCAAGACTCTAACATTACATTCTGTAAAGTGACACAATGTGATCTAGTATTATTTATCTGTAGATAATAGTGTTCTGACTGTATGTACAGTCTAGAAATCACAAATCAATTAATTCCTCTCACAAATCATTCATTTTAGACTTACAAATAAGCAATGAAATAGTCAATGGCCTGATTAAAGCCAAGAGCTACCAGGCTGGATGGACACATTTTAGTATTTCATCTGTTCTTTTTCTTGTTCGGGGCTAGCAGGTTGGATCTAAACCATTAAAATCAAATGGGTCACTAGGCATGTGATCTCTCTGAGCCAAATCAGTTCCTGAATATAAAGGAGGAAATGATGCAGATGGACTGAGGCAACGGGGAAGTATAGAAACATCTATGACAAAAGCCAAGGGATGCAAAGACAGGGATACAGGTGCTTTTTTGGTGACCAAGTGGATATGGCAACCAATGTAACTCCCATACAAGATACCTTAGGAGCAAACCCACACCACTCATTCTCAGCTAAGAGATTTTGCGCAGGCAAACATGTCTTAAACCACTTATAAATCTGTTATTTTATATGACAGCCAAAACCTTAGAAGCTATTGAGTAGGATCATAGATATGCCTATTTTCTGCCTATTAATTGCTGTGAGGTTTGATTTGACCAGTCTAGGCAATTTATTCATCAGCCTCCCTTGAAGTGCACCAGAAAATAGAAGAAAGGTGTGTGGAGACTTAGGGTATTTTCTTACATGTTTTGATAGTCTTAAATAGTGACTAAAGTTCTCTAGAAAGAAGTTAACAGCTCATTAGAAAAGTTTTAACCTGTGAAATAAGTATTTTTCTCAACATTTTTTAAAGTTTTTATATGTTAACACTAAGTAAACATTCTACATACTAAAATTCAGTTTATTACAAATACATGTCAAAAATAAAGATTATAGGAGGCACCAAACTATTAGATTTGGCATCAAAACAAATGTTTATTTCTAATCACAGCAAAATTATAATGAATAAATGTTCTTGTTTTGTATGGAATACAATTCTTGTTTAAAATTAACAGAAAGGAACTGATCATTTGTACCAGTAAGGAGAGAAACACACAGGTTAAATGTCTTCTTGTGGGGTTAAGGGGTAACACCCATCTTGCCTTCACTCTCAAGATAACGACTCAAATTAAGCTTTCTGAGCACCACTTCTGTGGGGACACACATACGCTGATCTAGGAATGAAATCTTCATGGTCTCAGTTCTAGATCTACTATGCCAGTTTCTCTTTGGCTTTAGCCTTTGAGAAACTGTATAAGAATACATAAGTAATCCAGAGCTGTGAAGAGTTAAAAGGCCAACTTCTCCAATGAACTCATTCTCTGGGTCACTTGCAACCAAAAATTGGATACCTCATAATGATGCAGCAAAGACCCGAGTTCATGATGAGTTTCAAAGGCCACGTTCATTTAGGAACCAACTCTCTCTGGATTCACCTGCTGAGTTGCAGCAGGGTGATGGGCTGACATCCCACCTACAAGCATGACACCTGTGTAACACCAGCTAGGTATGGCTGAAGAAGACTGAAGAGAGAATGTCATTAAATGGAAGAATGTACTGATCTTAGTGACCTTCTCCACACACACACACACCTACAGTAATACAGCAAGAGTGGGATAATCAGCCAATACATAACATCATGTCAGTATTTTATTAAAGAAATAATCTGAATATGGTTGATTTTGACATAGCTGCAATTATAGTTTTCTTCTATTTTTCAAGCCACAGTAAGGAAAATAAACTACTCATGGTCTAAATAGCAGAGATAAAGTAGATTCACGGCTTGGTAAGGAAATTCTAAGCATTCCTTCAAAGACTGATATACTAAAATCAGCATTGATGTTTTGGTTTTTTTAACACCTAGGATTTTTAGCTTGGGTGTGTAGGTGAAGGCCAAGACCCTCTGCAGGAAAAAGCGTATTTTCAAACTCAGAAAATAAAATGTCAATCATAAAGTCTACTTCAACTTTAGCAAAAAGAAAAAAAAATCAACAAAAAGTATACTCTGTATGCTGGGATTCCGAGGTTCCAACACACCGTTACAAATCTGTGGGGGGTTTCTTTCTTCTGATAATTCTAGAGCCTGTTACCATAGAAAGGCATTTCTTCAATGGCTGGTTGTAGTTAGTTCATGTTTTTCAATCAAATTTGCAAATGTATTTGTTGCTGTATAGTGATTGTTTTGCAAAATAAAATTGCTTGTCACCTAACTGCTGGTTTTGGTTTCAGACTGTTTAATTGCTTCTTCTCTGGGAGAAAAAAAAATATATATATATATATATATATATATATTTATATATTTATATATATATATATATATATATATATGAGAGAGAGTGTGTGTTTGTGTGTGTGTGATACAACCAAAGAAAAATTGTGAAGAGAAGGCATTATTATCAGCTGAGTTTCTATTATGTGTCAGGCCCTATACTAAATGGCTTTATATTAGCTCAGTTAACAAGGAAATTTATTTTTATCACTACTGTATCAGCAGGATGCCATCTTTTGCAAGTGACAAAAACTCTAATTAAACGGGCTTAAACGTAAAGGTGAATTTGTTGTAGGCTCAAGTAACTGACTACCCAGGTGTATCTGCCTCAGGCATGGCTGGATCCAGGCCCTCAAACGATGTCATCAGGAATGTTTCCTTTTCCAGCGTTTAGTTCTGCTTCCTCTGTGTTGGCTTTCTTCTCAGGAAGGCACCCCTTCTCTGATGGGCACCAGAAGCTCCAGATTTTACAACCTATCCAAGAAAGCCTTTTTCCAGTAGCCCAAGTCCAGGGTCTGAAAATCACTGAACTATTAATACTTGGATCTCCTGCTTACTTGTGCTAATTGAGCAGGCTTGGCTCACATACCCAACTCTATCACAGGTGGTTGAAGTAGGAGGAGAATAAGGGGAGAAGTGGTTTTATTCTCCTCCATACTACCTGAGCTAATCATGGAGAGGAAATGTTCCCTCAAAAGTTAATTCAGGCTACTCCTGCCAGGAGAGAAGAATTGATGCCGTCCAGGAATCGATGCTGTACAGGCTGTGCAGGCCACAAAAACAAATATGTGGTATAGCTGCACCCTATTCATCTTTTAGCTCCTTACTGCTCAGATTATGCTCAAGCTTCACCAGGGAGCTTGATAAAAATACAGATTCCCAGGCTCCACCCCAGACCAACTTACTAACATTCCCCCAAGTGATTCATCTGCAACTCAAACATTTCAGAAACACTCAGCTCATTCGGTCCCTGCTAATGTGTTTAAGGAGAAAGAGCTCAACTGCAGGCCTCTAACAGATAAAAATTATCCCAAAGACTATTTCAGAAAGCATCGCTACCTCTGATGTCAAACTAGGAATCAAGACATAGAAAGCTGTCACTGGTAAAAGAAATATTTCTGTCTGTATTAGAGGTTTTCCAGCCCTCAGACCATTTAAATTTGGCTAAATCCTACTTCTCTTATCAATGGCCTCACTTCTCAGTCTCCCTTTGCTAATAATGCAGATTTTGTAAAACCCAGAAAGAATTATTAGTGTCTCTCTTTAATAATTCCTTAAAATCAGCACACATGTTGCCCTTTAGAGTCTTCAAACCACTAGGATCAAATTCGTCCAGTAGCATGAATCACCATAAAATTGGTTTTCTTTTTTATTAGTTAACAAGGCAAGGAAAGGTTTATTTGCCTTGATAGAGACAAGTAACTGATAAATAATGGAAGACGACAGGATCACATTGAATGTAACTTACAGAAAGATAAATGTTCCCCTTCTTGTTTATGATGTGACACTTGTAGACCTACGACTTCAAGAATTTAGGACTAGAAAACTGTCAAAAGTATACAGTCTAGCAAGCTAAAATTGTTTCAAAATATTCAGCCTTTCACTAGTTTTTTTTGAGCATGATGAAGCACCATCATAGACAGTCTCCTTAAAGTCCCCTTTCCCCCTCTTATGCCATTCCCTCACAAATATGTCTCAGCTGTTCCCACTTCTACTCCCTTAAAAGCTCCTGAACTAGCTTGTGCCTTACGAACTGTTGCAGGAAGTCCAGATGGGCAGCACAGGAGGCCTACACTGGCACCTAGCAGTCTGCTTTCCTATCAGATAGCCTGCCACAGTTCTTATTTGCCTACCCCATCTCTGCATTACACACCCTCAACCAAGTCAGAAGAAGACTGGAACCTTCTCAGAGGAGACACTGCCTTTGGTGACATGCTGGTAGGCAAATACCTGGTGCACATATAACCATACCATGGTCACCTCTAGTCCCTCAAGAACCTCTCTCGTGGTTGCTTATGAAAACTAGTCACCACAGGGCTTGAACTCAGCATAATATAAAAGATGGACAACAGGAACTAAGAAGGCAATACAGGTTCCTGAGGCAAAAAACAGAAGGATGTTGTAATAGATAGGCCCTATGGGGTGAATTGGGCTAACAGATGCCTAAGGTAAGGAGTTTTTATGATTCATGCTAATAGTCACCTCCATTTTAAATCCACCCAAACCCCAACTGATGTGGGTATTAAGAATTTTAATTTTATACTTATTTAGTGATTGTGCCAGGCATCCTTAAAAACATATGTTAACTCCTAATAGCATTGTATTTCTCAGCATCACCATTTTACAGATGAGGAAACTGGGGCTTAGGTCATTTAAAATTTAATGGCAGAGCTAGAATTTTAACCCAAGCAGCGCAACAATAGATGTTTCATCTAATGGATTAGTTTTAACCTAATTAAATATTCTAATAAACCATTTTTATGATAATAATAATGATGTTGAATACATAGTATATAATACCATACTATATATCTATTACAAGGGTTAGAAAAATGTTTGTATATTTGCTATTCAGCAAAGGATAAAACAGGTTTATGAATGATAAACAATATCATTTATGCAAAGAGAAATGTCCTTTTTTTCAGTAAATACAAGTCATCCAATGACAATCAATTAAATTAGAAGTCATTGGAAGAATTTTATGTGGTTCTGTGCATCAAGTTATGGCTCATACAAAAAAAAATGTAGCAAGTGACATTTACATCAGGCAAAGACCAACTAAAAATTTCTGAAAATCAACAATTTATTTGGAAATTTCTAGAAAAATCACATGAGCTATTTGTACTACAACACGCATCACTAAATAAGCAGTTTTATAATTGACATTGTTTAGAGAATAAAAGCAAGTTTTCTAGTATGTATGTTAACTTACAATAGTGTACCAGCCAATAAATATTTTAACATCACCTTTGCTTCCAGCCTCGTTACAAGCATGACATGCCACTTAGATTTTCCTTATGAAAACAAGGATCTATAGTTTACAGTATAATATATGAGGACACCCGATTAAGCCTTAGATGTGGAATGCACACTTCAGACAGTCTTGTTGAATTTTAGGAACTTTAGTAAATAAAAACATACTGATACTCATTAGCATCAGAAAACTAAGACACAAGTAGATTCCAAGGGGACTTCTCAGCCATTTTCCTGCTTCAAACACACAAAAAGCAGAAAGCACTCATCATGTGAATACCAAAGTACCAATATTTCATATTTTCCTGTGTAACCAGAATGTTGAACAAGCATGACTCATATGAATTTTGATCATAACACAAATTTATTTTTGTCTCTCACAGTTCCTTTAAACATCCTACTAAATGGTGGAAGGAATCTTCTCCTGCCTCAAGCTGAAGACTTGGTCAAACCCATGACTTTTTAGTCACTCTCAGATAATAAAATTATTTTTGTTGTAAAAAAAAAAGGCTTGATTATAAAGTGTCCCATTTCAGACATTTAAATGTCCAACACATGAAATAATGAAAACACTGAACAGATGGTGTAAGGTCCATACCATGGATTTGCCTTAAGGCTGTAAGCCTGCATTGAGATTGGGGCATAATCATCTGTTTCCTTCTCTATGGACTCACTTTTTTTCCTCCTGACAGGTGCTGGGTTTGCTCCCTTCACAGATAAAACTTGGGGAGTAAGAAAAAAATAAGGCTAGGTCTTACTTGTTTGGGGGTGGTGCACTCCATGACTGTGGTTGCTTAAGGAGATCTTTTCTCTTTTTCAGTGGACATCCAGTGATACACCTCCAGCCTCTTTCTACCAAGTATTCTAGCCCATCCAGGCAGTCCTACTGGACAGCACCCAAGATGTCTCTCTCCAACTCTCTCTCCCACCTGTCTCTCACTTGGCCTGCATGTATTACCTACCCTAATAACTCTGTTGGAGGCAGATCCCAACTCAGCAGCATTCCTCAGATTTCAAAATCAGAGCCATCAGCTTTCTCTAGCCACTTGATTCTCCAGCCTGAAAAATCTAGTGTCTACCAACATCTGTGCCCCTCAACATGATGGAACACATTTCAGTGCTTTCCAAATAGTCCTTTTAAATCTCTCTCTCTTAAAAAAAAAAAAAAAATGGAATCTTGCTCTGTCACCCAGGCTGTAGTGCAGTAGCATGATAATGGCTCACAGCATCCTCCGCCACCTGGGTTCAAGTGATTCCCCTGCCTCAGCCTCCTGAGTAGCTGGGACTACAGGCACATGCCACCATGCCTGGCTAATATTTTTTGTATTTTGGTAAAGACTGGGGTTTCACCATGTTGACAAGGATGGTCTTTTTTTTTTTTTTTTAGACAGAGTTTCACTCTTGTTACCCAGGCTGGAGTGCAATGGCGTGATCTCAGCTCACCACAACCTCCACGTCCTGGGTTCAGGGAATTCTCCTGCCTCAGCCTCCTGAGTAGCTGGGATTACAGGCACGTTCCACCATGCCCAGCTAATTTTTTGTATTTTTAGTAGAGATGAGCTTTCACCATGTTGACCAGGGTGGTCTAGATCTCTTGACCTCGTGATCCACCCGCCTCGACCTCCCAAAGTGCTGGGATTACAGGCGTGAGCCACCGTGCCTGGCCAGGATGATCTTGATCTCCTGACCTTATGGTCCACCCGCCTTGGCCTCCCAAAGTGCTGGGATTACAGGCTTGAGTCACCGCACTGGGCCTTAAATCTCTTTATTAAACTTAGGAATGGAAGGTAGCACCCCCTCCCCCTCCCCCAAAAGAAGTATGACCCACAGACAGGATAGGGAATCCCTTACCAGTCTCATCAAATCCTACTCTGTCCCATTTTTGTGTCTTTTATCTGATAGAAACAAATCTTTGATGTCATTTCCTGTGTACATCTGCACATGGGAAGGGGCCATTTTTCACTCTCA